GAGATAATTGACAATTTTTAAGGATGAATAAAAATGATAGTCTCTTAAGAACTTCATTATGAGGCTTTTAAGACAAATGTTGAAAGTCAATGATCTATAAACTATAGTCACCTAGTTGCCCTCATTCAAGACTTACGAGAAGAATAATTGAGATATGTCCTTGACTTGTAATAGCTTTAATTGCATGATTACTAGAACTCACAAAAAGTTCTACTGATATTAATTCGTATAAAAAAAATTTTGGGTTCTATACTTCAACCTGAGCGAGAGATGCTTTGCCAAGATGAAGCTACCAACAATGTTTAAGTAATGATCAAAATCATTATAAAACCTTAAAAATATAGAAAATACCACACCATCTAGAAATTCTCATATCTCTAGCCGAGGATTTGCTAACTTGAAAGACCACTAAGGATCATCGAACCGTCTGCCATCTGAAATGAAGAAGCATAATTGCTCACTTAATCATATCACAAAGAGAGAGTGCCTATAAACACCTTACGATTATCGCACTGTTAGTATTAATCATTGAACTTATATGGACCCTACAAAATAAATATCTGTTCAAGTGTCGTGCACTTTGACATGAACCTATGAGACAACACCAAGTATTTTGCATTCCAAAGGGATCATAAGAATGTCTTAAAGTACTGTGATAATTTAAATTTGATAGAATAATTGTTAAATATTGGAAGTTTAAAAGAATTCCATCTTTTTTGCCATTAAATAAAATCAATAAAGGCTTCTTGGGTAGTGAAATGAGCCATCTATGGTCAAATCAAATCAAACATATCATTGGGATGATACTGGCTATTTTTATAGGGGAAGTATTAGAGGCATCTCAACATACTAGCCTCAAATGAGTTTAGTTGGGGAAGTGAACATAGGGATTACAAGATCACCTTACGTTGATGTTGTGCTTATAACTTTGCTTGAAGCAAATAGAATGGCTAATGGGAACCATTTTAATTATGTAATTGTGGTAAGAAACATAAATTTCAAACTATCAAATATCAATCATGTGCTCTGTATGTCGATGAGCCGCTACCCATTTTAGATGTGAGAGACCCGTTCTCTGTCTGATGACTTAGCGTGAGCTTCGAAGAATCAAGAATTTTCCCACATTAAATAACCTTCCTTTGATAGCATATAGCCCAGGTCTATGATAATATAAAGCACAACCCCTTTTATCGCGAGTATTTTTGGGTATCCCCCAAGATGTAATTAACCAAGTGGGATACGTCCCCATAGGAGTGCTCTTGACCCCAGAACAAACACCTACACCTGAATCATCGGTTTCGTGTAGTTTATGTAGGTGTTCTTTTGCGAAATTTTTTGCTAAAATCAGTTTAAATTGTTTTCGCTCGATCTTGTTTGGGCAAACACTCTTAACCTATCATTGCGAGGTTCAGCGTACAGGTTCACCGTACGTAGGCTCTCCACATTTTGTGTTTTCTCTTTTTTGTTATTTTGTCATATATATCTTCTTATCTGGTTCCTCTCCTCTTTGAATCGCTGATCTTATTCGAGAGGGAGATTTATTCGAATGAGGGAAGTATACGACGATTGACAAGCTAACGACTTCTTCTAAAATAAAAGAGAGAAAAACGACGAAAAAAAGAAACTCATCTCGTAGTTCTAAAAGAACTATACTAGACTATTATCTTATCCTATAAAAGCTAGGAGCATAATGGTTAGCTAATTTTAGAGCTTGGGATATTCTAAAAAAATTTTGAGTGTGCCGTGATTAACTCTTGTGCTTGGCTTAAATTGAAATTAAATTTAATATTAATTTAAACTTGAAATTAAATCAATCACACCCAAGTTTAAACTTAAATTTAAACTAAGCCCAAATCAAATTAAACTCAAACTAAAGTCAAAAAAAGTTTAAATATAAAATTAATATGGAATTTAATTTAATATTAAATTTTAACCAAAATTTTTTAATTATAACATACCTAAAATCTAACTAAACTCAAACTAAGGGCCCGTTTGGGGCGGCTTATTGGGGTGTCCTGGCGGTATGAAAAAACCGTGAAGGTGTTTGAAAAATACATTCGGGGCAGATTATTCGTGCCGCTCATACACACTTACAAGATTTCATTAACAGAAGGAGAAGCGGGGAAGGAGCCGCGTCCTGCGTCTGCTTCTCGCGTTAGCGTGAAAAATTCCTTCGGTGCGCCCTCGCCCTCGCCCCCGCTGATTCCTTTGTCTCTTGAATCTTGGGCACGAGGTGGCCCTCTCACCAAGCGAAGAGGAAGAATGGCGCAAACAGGCTTACTTTCCTCGATAATTTATGGTTTCTGCTAGGAGCAGATTGGAAGAATGAGAGACGGTAGTTTCGACAGTCACTGTAAACCACGATCCCATCATCGCTTTCCCAGCTAGCTCTAATGGCGACTGTATCGCAATGGAGATAGTATCGCGAAAGTTCGTTCACGAAGGCGATCGTTTTGGGCGAAACCGGGAGGGATCGCAAAGGTTCGTTCAGGAAGGCGATCGTTTTGGGCGAAACCGGGAGGGGGAGGGGGAGTGACAAGCGAGGGTTTGGGCAGAGATGGAAGTTTTGAAAAAATAGCTTTGTATATTAATTATAATAGATAAATTTAAAGATGTATCAAAATTTTAATTATATCATAATTTTAAGAATCTATAATTAATTATATCAAAATTTTAATTATAATTAATTTGTATATCATCAATTTAATTATAATAGATAAATTTGTATGTAATTAATTAATATTTGATCAATGAATAAAAATATATCAAAATTTTAAGTTATTTAATAAATTTCTAAGAAATTCTTCATTTATGT